TCCTCCTCCACCTCCTCCTCTTCCTCCTCCTCCTCCTCTTCCTCGTCATCCCCCTCCTCCACCTCCTCCTCCTCCTCCTCCTCCTCCTCCTCGTCACCCCCCTACTCACTAATACACTCACAGATAACCCGTGGATTACACGACCGGGGGGACAAACACGGCGACCATAATACAACAGCTAGACGCATTTGCTAGATCCTTCATTGCATCTCGCGCTCGCTCTCGGTCCAGTGCGTCGGACGCAGATACGACTGCGGGAGATATACTGGACAAAAGAACGTGGACAAGAGAACCGAGCATCTATACGGCTTTGAAGCATAATATCGCCAGGAGTATGATAATATAGACTATAGTCTATCCTTCCCTGCTCTCCTCTACCCATAGACTATAGTCTATATGATGACACTGCCGACTGTAGCTCGTGCTCGTGTGAGTGGAAGATATACGTTGCTGAGTAGAGAGAGAACTGGGAATCTATAAGCGGCTTAGTAGCATAATATCGCCCTAGGAGATTAACGGTGTGTGTGTGTGTGTGTGCATGGCACGGTGGGGGGGGGTCGGGGTGTCGTGGGGGAGGGAGCTCGGTTTGTCTGTCATGCTGTCGTATACGTACATGATTGCAAACTCGGGGGCGCTGAACATAAAAGGGCAAAGTTGAGCAGGGGCAAAGTCGGGGCCACAGCGTGTGCATGTGTGCGCACGCTGCGACTGAGGTGCAGGAGCGTGAGTCAGGGGGAGGGATGAGGGGGTCGTGGTCGCATGAATAGCTGGCTATAATCCCCACCGTCGTACCGAGGAGGAGTTTAATGAGTGGCATTGAGGTTCCGCCATCAGCAGCCGCGAAGTCGGCGAGCAGAAAGGCACCCGTGCCGGAGAACGGAATCGAATCTGAAAGTACACAAGAAACGATGACGTCAGCGGCGTACATACGAACGAAACGATGACGTCAGCGGCGTAGCTAAATCATAAGACATATTAGATTTATCTAAGGAAATGTGTGAAGAAGAGGCCTGGCCTCTACGGGGCACCGCTCCACTGAGCTATCCCATGTTGTTTCAATATGTGTGTTATTGGATGCCATTTTAAAACAAGGTTATGGTTAAGAAATGCTCAGTAAGTTAGCAATGAACGACTAGTTTTGACTTGTGGTGGTCTAAGTAAGTATATTTATCTAAGACATTTTATCGATAATCTAACTCTAGACAGTTGCTGTTACTCAGGCAATAACAGCAAGTATCGTAAAAGTTGGGAAAACACGAGACTGGTTGGAAATTATGTTCAAAAAACATGCTTTAAAGCCCGCGGCAGTGTTACACGTGGTAGAATAGAACTTATAAGCACATGGGGGAACCCGGGGAAAAGCGGAACCCGGGGCAAAGTGGAACTGTCTCAGCAGGTCTATGTTGATGCTGCCATCTATCTGTGACTGTTTTCATTAGAAGCTCAGTTGATGCAAGGAGCTACATAAGCCCTCCTTAAGGCTAGCTCCTTAAGGCAGGTAGCTCATTGAGTTGATGATGCATCGTTTTTGATGGACGCCAGCCATTTGCATGAATCAGGTATGTACATTTTTTTGGACAAAAGTCTGTTTTTTATGTGTTTAAACGAATGTTTTTTAGAAATGAATCATCTGCTAAATCACTGTGATCTTGTGGAATTCTTATCTAGGCTATTTTGTTGAAAATAAGGCCTATGTGTGCCATATGCATGATGACATTCTTTGCGTAGTTGTCTGCACAGCGTAACGCCACATGTATAGAAACTATCATGTGTTCGGGGCAATGTGGATGGGGCAAAGTGGAACAGGGTTCCACTTTGCCCCGGCCATATTTGATAGGCCTAGATGTATTTCATTATTATCAGATTATTTATTATGATCTTAATTAGTACTCTCAGTAGCAGGTATGCCTGTCTTAATTTGCATCATTTTAACACCTAACTCGGTAACATTGGCCTAATTGTGTCTTCCCTAGACTTACATATTGTATAAGCGTCCTATAATGGCATTTTTCTTTCATATTTTAGGCAAAATGGTACGCAACTATAGATTTGATGTTCAGAGTTGGACACTGAAAGAGGACGCAACATTTTTGACACAATATACATGGAGTAAAATGACATTCCACCTTGCCCCATAACAGGTTTCACTTTGCCCCGGGAGTCTGGGGCAAAATGAAATGTTTATAACTTTTATAATTTTGTATATTTCAATAAAGTCGTTTTTCAGATTAACTTTGTTTGTACCGCCTGTTAGTGCTTGTCCTAAGCCAAAGGATTAGAGCCAAACATTTCACTTTGTCTCGCTCTTTCACAGCGTTTTGGCCAACCAAATTTCTTCGGTCCACTTTGCCCCGGGTTCCCCTATATATTACCAAGAGTATATTATATATTATCTACTAGTTAGATACATTATCTACTCTTGAATGATATTATCGACAGTAGTGTGTTTGGTAGTGTAGGATTAGCAATGGCAATATAGTTAACAGTAGTAGTATTTATCCGTATAAGTATGTTGTAAGTGTAGTTGCGATACGTAATGTTCTATTTATTATTAGTTTTGTTATTTAGTGGAATATTACAGTAGTAATACAGGTTTACATTTATTATTATTATTTACGTATTGGTAGTAAGTATAACTAGTAGTGTTCAATCCCAGCCATCTATAGTATTTGGCTATGATAATTTTACCTAAGGTAGTAGTTGTGGGAGTATTAATACATGTTGATGATCTTTAACTGAAGTAGTTTTACCTGCATGTACGTGTGTAGCGACCAATATTACATTCAGACTATATTGTCAATGGGACACTCATTGGGACATGTTAATGAAACTATGTGCGGGCGAGAAGCAATGTAGCGCGAGTAATGCCGCTCGTCAACATCCATAGAGAAATATCAGCATGCATGACCATTATGTATGTAGTGGACATTGTATGACGGGCTGAAATTGCATGCCGACGCATGATCGAAACCCATTGAGAACAGGGCATACTCGATTATTCACGACCAAGCATATAGGATTATTGAACACCGCGATCTATGAGGGTGACGATGACACGCGCCTGCCGAAGACATACCGCTGGAAACAAAGAGAAGACCAGGACGCATGCGCGCGGTATAAGAGCGGGAAGAGAAGGATAAATAGGGCGTTGGCGCGCTGCGGAAAGAATCTGTATCCCAGCGCACACCTATACGCTCAGGACTACGGTCGCAAATGTCAAAAAAAGCAGACATGTAAGCCGAAGTCGAAGCGGTAGCGGCGCTTGAGCTGCTGGGGCGATATGGCGTGTGGCAAATTCGTCGTCCAGTAATGGGATCACGTTTGAATTCGATAAAACTTCTCTTTGGCTTCTTTCTACATTTGCCTTTATATAAAGCGCTTGCCAACAAGTCTGCTTTTTCTTACGTTTGCGACCATCGTCCGCCATGACAGCAGCAACCTTGCCTTGCATTAGGGATTATCTCTAATCGAAGCGCAATTATCAATTATGGATTATCCCTAATTCAAGCTCGAGGACATTCTGCAGGCGATCGAGGTTCAGCCGGTCTGCTGCTATCTGATACAATACAGACATGTTTTGTCCCCTTAATTCTGGTCTTCGCCTTTGGCTATTCATTCCTCGTTACTCTCCTACCTTTTCCCCTCACGTAGCGTCGCGCTATACGCTACACGTGCCAGTCATATATTTGAGATCATATTTACCTGTTCTGCCACGTTTGAGTAGAAAATCACGTTATAATCACGTTATTGTGTACACGTCCACTAACGTTATTTTAACGTTGTCAGGATCCCATACAACAACGTTATATTAGCGTTACATAAGGCCAAAACAAAATATAGGTGTTTCTATTTATTCCCAGCGACCCTAAACATTTTATTGTCAATTTTCTTTAAAGTCAAACAAAAATGTGAGAAATAAAAAAAATAAAAAAATAAATTTTGAAGCAGGAACTGTCCAATTCATATTTGAAGGATGTGCGTTGTGCCGGACATGGTTCGTAAATAAAATATTTCAAGAAAATAAAATGTTTTCCCAACCTACTTTTTTACACCCGCGTGTACGTGCGTGTATCTCCGTGTACGTGCGTGTACCTGCGTGTACGTGCGCGTACTTGCGTGTGCACGCACTTATACGCAGGTACACGCGGGTACACGCACGTGCACGCGGGTACACGCAGATACACGCACATACACGCGGGAACACGGAGATACACGCACGTACACGCGGGTACACGCACGTGCACGCGGGTACACGCACGTACACGCACGTACACGCACGTACACGAAGGTACATGCACGTACACGCAGATACACGCGGGTACACGCACGTACACGCGGGTACACGCAGATACACGCAGATACACGCACGTACACGCGGGTACACGGAGATACACGCACGTACACGCGGGTACACGCACGTACACGCGGCTACACGGAGATACACGCACGTACACGCACGTACACGCACGTACACTCACTGTTATTGATGTGGCGGGCGTCGGGCGTTATGAGGCAGGGATTCAGCTATGATGAGCATGGGCGTCAGCGATAATACTACAGGGGTCAGTAATGACGAGGCAGGGGTCAGCGATAATGACACAGGGGTCAGCGACGATAAGACAGGGGTCGGCGATTATGAAGCAGGGATTAGCTATGATGAGACAGGGGTCAGCAAGGATAATTAATATAGGGATAAGTAATGTTGAGGCAGGGGTCAGCGATTATGAGACAGAGATACGAGATTACGAGACAGTTCTCATCCGTTTCCTTACAAGAGCCATTATGGACGACCATGTAGATTAATGTAGACGCATTCATAAGGCAAAACTATCCATCGAGATTCCATAGACGACGCCAGCGTTCGAAACGTGATCATTACATAGAACGAGATCATCTGCTGCTTTGAATGTTTCGTCTGTCTACGAACACAATTATGTACCAATTACGTCCGTCGATGTTTAAATAGCGCATCTGTCACGATGGGGGCCATGCGGCTCCTGCTGTGCAACTCATTATTCTGCGATACAGCAATATATATATATATGTAACCGCGACGTGTACGCTATTCTAGGAATGTACGCTGCATATTCGGCCGCGGCCATAAGATCATGCGCGTTGGTCACGCCAAAATGTCGTACTGCGCCGATTGACGTCACACACGTCGTTTGTCATCGCCGCAATCACCGATTACTCCCGGAACTATTCAGTACGTCAACAACTTGCCAGGCATGGCAGCAGCGTCCTCCGCTTTCACAGGCTAGCGCGAGAGATAAGGCTATGCTATTGGTTAGAAATCCGTTTGAATACCGTAGCCATGGTTTTGCAAAATATCGCATGACATCACGCATATTATAACCATCTTAATAATAATAATATTAATAATAATAATAATTAATAATAAAATAATAATAATAATAATAATCAGTAGTAGTAGTCAGTAGAGTCAGTATGTAGTAGCTTTAAGTAGCAGCACGTAGCTAGTTAGTAGTTATAGTAGTAGTAGCAGTAGTTAGTAGTTAGTAGTAGTAGGTTAGTACAGTAATAGTAGTTAGCTATAGTAGTAGCTTAGTGAATAGTCAGTAGTAGTAGTTAGTCAGTAGTAGTAGTAGTAGCTAGTAGTAGTAGTAGAATATAGTGTGCACAGCAGCAGTTACGTAGTAGCTAAGTAGTAGTAGTACATGCAGCAGTAGTATAGTTAGTGTAGTCAGTAGTAGTAGTAGTAGTAGTAGCAGCAGTAATAGTAGTAGTCAGTAGTAGTAGTAGTAGTAGTCAGTAGTCAGTTAGCAGTAGTAGTAGCAGAGTAGTAGCTAGTCAATGTCGTAGTTCGTAGTAGTATAGTCTAGTAGTAGTAGTAAAGTAGTAGTATAGTAGTTGTGTATAGTAGTGTA